TATATTATATATTACAAATTCATTCTATATATATGTAAAGATCATTAGATTATATTCATGAATAAAAATAGATGAAATTTATAGAATTAAACAAAATAATGTGGTTTTTTGACTATGATGCCATATTCTGCGACTGCGGGAGTCAAATCTTCCATGGTAAGAGTATAACGTCGATCTTTTCCTTTTGTTTTTGTATTTTGATTGGCTCCACGTGTTTTGCAATGTTGTAAAGCATCATTTGCGATTTCAGATATAAATTTTTGTGCAGCTAATGAAACCAATCTTACTCTAAAATCATAATATATATAGTTAAAACAATTAAAATTTTATTTATAAATTAATCAACTCTGTAAATTCCTTACATTCTGGGATCTGTTGTATTAAAACCTGCTGTATGTAAATAATGTTCACTTATAGCATCTGGTACCTATCAAAAGAATCATTTGATATATGTTTAATAATAAAACTATAATTAAGTAAAACTATAATTGTAATGTTGTATATATGCTTACCGTTGGTGTATAATCTTCAAGTTGTAGCAAAAAATCTGAAAGAGGTTGTCCAGCAGTTTTTGTTTCTTCATTTGTGTACATAGATGGAGTATCTCCTCCAAAATCTTCTGTCATTTCAATTTAGCGCTTTTTGCATAATGTTAAAATATTATATAAAATGATATAAAATAAATAATTGAAAGTTAATTTTTTAGATTTCAAAATATAAGTAATATATATATTACAAATTCTAATTTTTAACAATGAGTTTTTTAAAATTAAGTTTCTTATAATAAAATTAAAGTTTATTTTGGAATATCAAAAGTTATTAACTTTTTTATTTTTTTGATAAATTGAATCCAAAAATATTAACTTTAAATGTATTTATAGGTTAGGTTATTAGAACGCCATGTTTGTATTCACAATTCATTCAATGATTGGAGTCACTGTCATATGAGTGACGATCATTTAAGCGCGATAAGTTAAATTTGGATATCTAGATATATTATACATGTTTTGTTTCTCTAATTAATCCAAATAATGTATAATAATACAATTAGAACAATCGTTTGTTTAATATGAATCGATTTAATATTGAAATAAAAATAACTTACCAAAATAATAATCCGCTAGTACTGCTGGATGCCTACGGCGGTCAAGGAAAAAATCTACCTTAAACAACTCAGTACTTTGAAGATATGGACCTAAATGGTCGTTACCTACATGCAGATAGTGACTTTTCATTGGGCGAAATATGAATATAAAACAATATAGTGTCTTAATAATCTATCAAAGATATTTAAAAATAATTAACTTGATGTACAAATAAATTTTTTAAATCAATGAATTCTAAATTTTAAATAATATTTTTTGATTCTATTTATCAAAAATTGTTAGTACAAAAATACAAAAAGTACAAAAGTTTTAATGCTTCAAAATAAAGTTTAGCAAAAAAAAAAAATATTTCAAGAAATATCATTATTCTCAAATATAATACAAATAATATTATGTACAAATAAAGATCAAAGTACAAACATAATTTTACCAATCGGAAGTATATCTAGAGAACAAATATCAAAGGAGTATATCGATTAATTATCCGTTTTTCATTTAAATAAATAGTGAAATTTTTTTATTAGAATGTTTTTATTTACAAAATAAATATCAATATTCAATATAACATAAATTCTTTAATTTATTATTTATGAAAATTTAATACTTAAAAATCTATGAAATTTAATTAACAATATATATTATATATATAGCATATAAATTATATTGATAATGGATTTTTAAATGGTATTGATGGAATCCAAGTATCTGATTTTAATTTTTCATATTTTATCTTGTTTATACACACACTATGTACAATTTGTTCAGCAGTATGAGTTAAACCATAATAATCTACAAATAACCCATCAGGATCAATAAGATATATGATTATTGTATGATCAACCTAGAATATAACCAGAATAAAATGAATATGATATTAAACAATAAAGTTTGAATAATATGTAAAAAAAAAATTACTAACAATATAATCGGAATCTTGATCTTTAGGTCCATTGCTATAGTATACTCTATAAGCTTTACATACTTTAGCAATTTGTTCTTTAGTTCCAGTAAGACCAAGAATTTTATCAGAAAATTCTTTAATATATTTGCCTACAACTTCTGGTGTATCTCTTTCAGGATCCACAGAAATAAATATAGGTTGAACTTTTGTATTATGTTGCTTTTCTGAAAAATAATAATTCAATGTAAAACAATATTTTTTTTGAAGTTTGTTGTTTATTATACCTAATTTATTGACAATTTCTGTCATTTTTTCAAGTTCATCTGGACATATATCAGGGCAATGTGTAAAGCCAAAATATATTAGAACCCATTGTCCTAAAAAGTCATCTGACTTCCAAATTTTTCCTTGAGAATCAATCAACTCAAATTTTCCACCAATTGCTGCTTTTCCTAATTGACGTCTTCTTTCACGTTCAACTTGCTTATCTTTTATTTCTTGAAGATAATACATATACATTAAAAGAGATGTGCCTACTATAGTTGTAACTATTACACTTTTCCATGTAATAAAACTTTTTTTGGCTGATTCTTTTTTATCATTTGATAATGAATCTATTTCATTAGAGTTATATAAAGGTGTAATTTTTATAGTTCTAATTTGTGGATAATATTGCTTAAAAGATCGTAAATGTTTAAACGATGTCTGTAAATAATTTAAGAAAGACTTAAGAAGAATTATTAAATTAAATTATTAATTTTATCATTTTAATTTGTTTTGTTGATTAAATTCTTAAATCATGAATGTTTCGATAAAACAATTTGTAATTTGAGTAAAATTAAAATTTAAATAATACTTACAGTTTTAAAAGCTTGACTTGTACATCTTAAGGAAAAAAGATTTATTAAACCAGACATTGTTCTCATTGTTACTTTCTTCGATCAATTTGAAATCATGAATTAGGTTATGATTCGACTATAGTTGATTTTACGCGCGCTACTTCAAAATCATTCAAATCTTATTCAAATTTTTTTTTTGTTTTTTTTTAAATAAAAAATATAGTTAATATATGAATAGTTATTTTGATCTATTATAGGAATTAACGATAAAATTTATTATAAGAGAATTATTTAATTAACAAATCTCACTCTTTATTTTATACGAATAAAAATTTATACAATTTATTTTTTATATATTAACTGAAGAATATTAATCACGTTGAAGTAGTATGAAATTTTCTTCTAAATTTATTACAGTGTTTCGAGAGCAATATTCCCATCTAAATATAAAATAAAATAAATATGCAAATAAAATATTAATTAAATTTGCAATAATGATAAATATTAATTTTAGAAAATTAAACTTTTATATACCTGTTGCCTTTCCTATCTTCAAGAGTAACTTTATCTATTAACAATATATCCGTATTAATAGTTTTAACTGAATCTTCATTTTTTTCATTTTTATCCTTTTGATACCAAATACGTGCTTTTAGTGTAGATCGATCTTTTAATAAAGATTGAAATTTTGCTGCACCAATATTATAAAAAGTCATCCCTTTATTTTTTCGAGTCAATATCCTTAAATGCATAATATTTTTTAAAAATTATTCATATATCATGTAATAGAATTTCTAAATACATCGATAATAATAAATTTTGTTATTATCAGTTATGTTATTAAAAAATTATAAAATATATCTTACGGATATCGAAATCTGAAATTTATTGTTGAATTGTGTTCCATAATCTTTAAAAATAATACTCCTGATGTCTTTAGCGCCTCTTCTGAAGTTGTCACTGATGCTCTTACAGGTTCACCTAATAAGATAAAAGAAAATAAAAATTGAAATTTTGATAATTTTTTATAAATTAACTGTACCACAAAATGGTTCTTGTTCTCTCATGGGTAAATAATAAATTCCTAAAGGACCATGATCGGCTCGATAGCCCATTTCTTGCGTCCATAACGTGGATTCCATAGGAAAACACATCCCATTCATATATGACATTCTTCCTTGGGAACAAGGCCAGGCGATAAATTTACAAGATTCATTTGTTGTACGTACACTTTCTAAAAAGTATGTCCAAGCTCTTAAGTGACTACAAGCAATTTCTTTAGTTAACATATCTTCTGAAAGATGTTATTATTTTTGTATGATTATATATAAATATTTTAAATATTATTAACTTTTCTTTCAAATAATAAATAAAATAATAAATACCTCTTAAATGACTAACAACAACAGAATTTTTCACATCATTACAACCAGGTTGTTCTCTACCACCATTTGGAAAAAAATCAATGTGACCAATTGGTTTCAGAAGTCCAAATCCATCTGCAAAATCTTCGGATCCATCTGTATGAATCACGTCTACTAATTGAGCATCGGTAGCATCCAATTTCCTCGACTTTTCTCTTAACAAGTGATTTCTGAAAAATGGTGATGCTGGATCTAGGCCAGTTATACGACCTAAGAGAAGATTTTTCTTTTTAAGAATCTCCGAGGCACAACCGGCCACATGAGCTCCGAGACTGAAACCAATTACGTGAATATCTTCGACCAGAGTACCCATATTGATAATGTCTAGAAGGATCAGACCTAATTGTCGTCCTACAAGTTCCGTATTCGCAACTGCAACCGAATAAGTCGTTCCAGCTCCTCTTGTCCAATCAAGTACTAAAACGTTTGTGTCTTCCTGATAAATATACCATAATATATATAAATTTAATAAACAAAGCATTTATATTGATCAATGATAAAACATGCAATTATTTCACGTTAATTACAATGTCCAAAAATGCCTGCACCAAGAGGATCGCACCGACATCGCTACCACTTCCTTTGTAACCGTGTATTATAACTTTTAGAGATTTCGTGGAATTAAATTCCGGTTGGAGCATAGATGTAGAATCGTCATCATAGTGAAGATTTTTAGGTGATTCTCGGGTTGAACGAGTATACAATAGAAATCTTGTTTGAATTACTTTAGGATGTTCTGGTGGTCTTTTCAATCTTAAATGAGGCGGTGGATCCGCAAAGCAGCCAACTAAGTCTAAAATTTTTCATATAATTTATATTCTTCATTCAATATAAAATTAATATTTTCTTATCATTCGTGTATCATAGCTATACCATAACAAATTTTAGGTTTAAGATTTTCACGACCAACTCTTATTCGGCGCAGCATTGCTCGATTTCTTTCGGCAAGTTTTACTGGAAAAAAAAAAAAAAATGAAAAAGAAAAAGAAAAGTGAAAGAAGAAGAAATTAGAAATTAAAAATTTACTTACTGGCATGCTTAACTTCTATAATCCAAAAAATGATCAATCCAAAAATTAAGATCAAGCGTTTTAACAAGACGAGTTGCATCTTTCATTTGATTTCTTCAACGAATGTTCGTTGCGTCTGAGGGAAACTATTAGTCTTTTACTTTTTTTTCTTCTTCCTCCTACCTTTCCGCTTGATACCTCTTTTCTTTTTGCCAGCGTTTCTTCCGATTTCTAGCGTTTCCTTTTACGAATCGAGAAATGTTTTCCAGTTTGTTATTATAACAGAAGAACTATCTTTTTATGCAATCGATTTTCCACTAGCGAGCACGCGATTGACCACTTTCTATTTGTTAGATTTGACATGTCGCTGTACAAATTGCTTATTAAATTACCAAATGATAGTATCATTCGTAACTGTTGATTTATTAGTAATTGATCCATTTTAATGGCAATGCGAATCACTTTAGTCGACAGTAAAATACTTTTAATTTAAAATAGCAATACAATAAATAATAGACATGAATGAAATTGAAAAAAAATATACATATTGATTATAACTCGTTGAACCAAATACTCGATTCATAATACTTTCCCTCGGTCTCAACGACCTCCTTTACCACCTAATATGACGTAACATTTGCAACTTCTCGCATGTGTATGACCATTCTCTGTACATATAAAAATATTTTACTTTCACATTCTATGCTATTTTAACAAGATATTTGAGAAAAGTGAAATAGAAAATCGAAATTTTTGTTATAAATCCATCATTACAAAATTCTTATAATATATCGTGTACTCTCAGCTCATAGAAAAAAACTATTCAGAAATAATTCAAATTGATCAGTTGAAGTTGAAATTTTAAAATAAAATGGCACATTTAGATAGTAGAAAGTCGCGAACATTTTTTTTTAAAAGATCTGGTAAACCGGACGGACCAGTTCCACGATTGTATAAAAAAGAAACAAAGTAACAATAAAGATTTGGCTGATTTCTTTTAATTGCGAAATAAAAATTATATCAATACTATTGTTTGATAATTTTCCTTAATCTTAAATCTTTAGAGATTAATTTTTTAATAAAAATGAAATAATGCTTATTATTCTATTATGACCTTTATTCTGAATTCTTTATTGTGTATAGTTAGTCATTTTCTGTTATTGTAATAATTAATTCTTTTCAAGCCTTTAGAAATGACTAAAATAGAAATGACTCTTCTTTGTTTTAAATCCTTTATTGCACAAGCATTTTTTACATCTTCACTAGTTATTATAATCTATAAATATAAGATAAATTGTTTCTCAAAAATTATATTTTTACTTGACAATTATCTTTATTTTTGATTTAAAAATCTTACCTGTTTGTAATTCATATTGTTTTACATGATTTATCGAATTTGTTTTTAAATAATGCAAGTAATGCAAGTATGACGTTGTGATAATCACAGTTAATCTCAGTTAAATTGTTTACGTTATATATTATTTTTTTAAGATTGATTTAAAAATTAAAAAAATACAGATTTGATATGCAATATATTTTATAATATTGATAAATATATATATATATATATATATATTGTTTATATAAATACAGATATGAAATTTACAGATGGTATGTATTCTCTTTAATCTATATCTGATAAGTAATAATTGATATAATTTAATTGACTATGTGTATACAAATACATCTTTAAGGAATTTATTATATAAAAGATTATTGAAACCATTTCAGTTATTGAAGATATTTTGAAGACGTATCATTATGAAGATGCTGAAAATATCTTATATTCTATTTTGCGTACTGCCGTTGATCTTGGCAATACCATTTACGGAACAGGAAAATGAATTGCATGAAAATCTTCATTCAATATTTGATAAAGTATTAAGTCCTGTAAGTATATTTTATTAAAAATTATTGTAATCTTGTAATTATTTCTATAAATCTATGAATCGTGAAATAAAACATAATATTACTAAATTTGATTATCTTAAGCTCAAAATATGCTGAAATATTACAGCTCAAAATATTCGCATCAAAATATATATAATTTTATTTATTAATATAATAATAAAGTGACTCACGTTTTTATCAGATTTTTAAAAATTTTATATTATAAACATTTGATCTCTGTACCATCTCAAACAAATTATAATTAAATATCATATGGCATAAAGATTAGGATGATCTAGTCGAGATGAAATAAACATAAATATTTTTACAGGAAGAATTAATACGCAAAGAGGGTTACACTGCTGAAACTCATCAAATCGTGACGGAGGATCGATATATTTTAGATGTCCACAGGATCTCAGAATCCCCAAAAAGTTCGACTAAAAACAAACCAGCAGTATTACTTGTCCATGGAGTGTTTGATTGTTCAGCTACGTGGCTCATACCAGGACCAGGAAAGGGTTTAGGTATTGACAAGTTAATATTCTATCTATAAAATAAACATTTTTCAAATATAATTATTTATCTTCTTATATAAAAATTTCTTTTTTCTTTTTTTTTAAAAAATTATAAATTTCTTTCAGAAAGATTTAATTCAATTTTTTCTTCTTTTAAGAAATGAAAAAATATGTTGATCTTAGAATATAATTGATTAATATTTGTTCAAATATTTGTTTAGGTTTCTTGTTAGCAGATTTGGGATACGATGTATGGATGATTAATGTGCGTGGTAATCGATACGCACGAAGACATTTAGATATGAATATTTCAGATAAAAATTATTGGAATTTCAGGTATAATAAAAAATTTAAAGATTCAGATTTATCTAGAAAAACAATCAAAAACAAATATTTTGATTATTGATAAATGATAATCGATTAAGAAACAAACTTTTTATAAATATATCATTGTATAAAATAATGTTTGATAACATAACTATTTATGTTTTCATATAGTTGGCATGAAATTGGAGTGTACGATATTCCAGCGACAATTGATTATATTCTTAAAAGAACTAAAAAAGAAAAGATTTTTATCATATCGCACAGTCAAGGTGGTTCGGCTTTCTTTGTAATGGCTAGTGAGCGTCCAGAATATCAAAACAAAATTATCGCTAGTTTTTCTATGGCTCCAGCAGTTTTCATGTCAAGAACAAATAATCCTTTATTTCAAATATTAGCTCCATTTAGTAATGATATCAAGGTATAATTTAGAATTTGTTTTAATAATTTTCAATATAGAAAAAAAGAAAAATTAATAAAAATTTTTTATCTTTGTTTTTTTATAGTGTTTAACAAAATTAATAGGCTTATATGAATTTAAACCATCGAATAAACTTATACAAATGCTTGGAAAAAAAATGTGTAAGGATGGCGAGTTGTTGCAACCAATATGTCAAAACATCGTATTCCTGTTTGGTGGTATCGATAAAGAACTTAACACGGTAATCATAATACATTCAATATAATCATTATTAATCAAAATAATATTAATATTATTATCACAATTAATTAAATATATAATTATTTCATAAAAATCTTTTATATAATGTAAATATAACTTGATTTTAATCTATAGACTCTATTGTCTCTCATTACTCAATATGATCCTGCTGGTTCATCTGTGAATCAATTTGTGCATTTTGCGCAATCAATTCATTCAGGTTAATATTTAAGAATATAATCTTGTTAAATTTTTGTTTCTCTGTTTGTATGTTCTTTTTTTTTTTTTAATAGGTAAGTTCCGGAAATACGATTATGGCGTTATTGATAACTTGAAAAAGTATGGTAAAATTTATCCTCCTGATTATGAACTTGCTAAAATCAAAATACCGGTATATTTGTATTATGCAGCCAACGATATATTTATCAATGTTGAGGTTTGTATATTGATAAGAAAATTTTGTTTTGTTCTGTTCTAAACTTTTTAACAGATTATTTTTTTTTTTTATTAATATTTTTCTAGGACTTGAATGATTTATATAAGGCATTACCCAATGCTCAGAAATTTTTAGTACCTTCTAAAACTTTTGCCCATCTTGATTTTGTATGGGGCAAACATGTAGACGTTTTGGTATACAGCCAAATTTTCGCTTTTATGGAACGATACAAAAAAGAACAATTAATTTAATGCCTATAATTTATTATTTAAAATATATATTTTTAAATTAATAAAAATATAAACAATATATGATCACAAATTTAATTATTTTTTTTATTATCTTAGAAAATTTTCGTTTTTAAATCCATTACATCTCGAAGCGCTTTTAAACACATTGAATTATTTCAAATATGATTTAATATTCAAATATGATTCAAAACTTTTAAAAATCTCGAAATAAATTAAAAATATATATTTTTTTATTATTGAATGATAAAAATAATAAATTTTGTTTTAATTGAAATAATTTTTTCACAAATTTTATTTTAATCAAAATTTTTTTTATTTTATTAAAATATTTCTTTAATATTTTATTTATTTATCTTTTTAAATCTAAAATATCAACTTTTGTAGATTATATTTAAAAATAAAAATCTTTTTGATTTTACAATTTTGACAAATATAATTTAACATTTCATCAGCATTTTTATATAAATGAATAAGAAATACATATTTATGAAAAAATAATTTTTCAATGTTTTATTTAATGATTTAATTAAGAATTATTCATTTATCAATTTGCATATAGAGGATATATAAATCATTTAAAAATCAGTATTAAAAATATTTACAATTTTAATAACATACGTACTTTTTTCTTTCTTTAAGGTTTTGAAATGATTAATAATAATAAAAAAAATTTCATTTCTTCGATAATTTAAATAAATTATTAA